CCTCTAATGTATTTCTTTAAGAGGAAGATTTGTCCCTGGCAACTGGTGCTCAGATAGGGACCTGGGGAAGCCCTGGGGAATGGAAGGAGCTAGACAGGGGGAGGGGAGAGGACTGGCCAGTTGGTGACTTTGAGAGTACCAGAGCAAGGCAGGATTGTAGGCAGAGGACCAGAGACTGGCAAGATGCTGGGCCCTTATGGATCAGACACAATGCCAAAGTTCCATGGTGACAGTGTAATTCCTGCCTGGAGCATTTTTCTTACTTTTCTCAACAACTCTCTGAGGTGAGTACCCTTATATTCAATTTCCAGAGGTCAGTACTGACTGACACCAGAGGTGAGCGATCTTTCCTAGGTCTCAGACATGGAATTCCCACTCAGTTCTGTTCCTCTTAAATCTCAAGCTTTCTCCAGGCTGCTAGTTTTTGGTAGCCATATTTTAACGCATCCAAAGAACACAGGGGCTATCGACCTTTTTCTCTACCTAGAGTTTGATGTTTTGAGGGTAGACATTCAGGCCTGGAGGGATTTAGGGACTGACAGTACATGAGGCTGATCTTTCCTCCCAGGTGACCTTGGGCAGGTCTTGCTCTCTCCCTGGGTCAGTTCTTCTAAAGATGCAGTCAACAGTGCCAGCCTAAGGCTGTCAGGAGGAGGGAGCTGGGGAAGAGGTGTGGGTGTTTACAGAGTCTCTTTGCAAGACCAGCTGGGAAACTGTGGAGCTGGGCTGTTTTACAATAGAGCTGTCCTTTGAATTTCAACAGGGAAGGGCCAAGAGTGGATGTTTGCTGGTGTTTGCTGAAGTGGAGGCTGTTGCTGGGTTGTCTCTGGCCCCCTTGGGGTTCCCTAAGCCAGTGGGGACAAATAGTGGTCTCTGTGGATCAAAGCTCAGCCCCCAAGAACTGGAACACATGAACAAGTCATTATCCTCAGGCCAGGGCCAGGGAGAATAGTCACACTGGAGGGATCTCAGAGATGTCTGATCCAGTTTGCCCTCCATAGATGAGGAAAATGAGGCTTAGAAAAGAAGCCGGGCGTGGTGGTGCACGCATTTAATCCCAGCACTTGGGAGGCAGAGGCAGGCGGATCACTGTGAGTTCGAGGCCAGCTTGAGACCATAGTGAGTTCCAGGCTAACTGGGGCTACAGGGAGACCCTGACTCAAAAAGACCAAAGGGAAAAAAAAAAAAAAAAGGAAAGCCTTGATCAAGGCCTCAGAGTCCATCTATGTCCATAGGAATTCAGGTCTAAAGGTGTTTTTTGTTTCCTTTTAGCAATTTTGTATTTATTATTCTATTGTGTGTGTATATCTATATCTATCTCTCTGTATATATGCATGGAGGTGGGCATACATGCCAGGACCCAGGTGTTGAGGTCAGAGGACAACTTTGTGGAGTTAGTTCTGTCCCTCCACTTTTACTTGGGTTCCAGGAAAGACTCAGGGGGTCCCACTTCACATGCAAGCATCTTTTCCTGCTGAGTCATCTCACTGACCCTAGAGTTTGTTTTAATTTTTTTTTTTTTTTGTCTTTTTGAGACAGGGTCTCCCTGTAGCCCGAGCTGTCCTGGAACTCACTATGTAGACCAGGCTGGCCTTGAACTCACAGAGATCTGCCTGCCTCTGCCTCCTGAGTGCTGGGATTAAGGGCATGCACCACCACGCCCAGCTTAATTTTTTTAAAAATTTATTATTTTTATTTTATGTGTATGAGTGTTATGCCTGCATGTAGGTAAGTGCACCCATGTTGTGCAATGCCCGAGGAGGACAGAAGAGGCTGTCGGATCCCCTAGAACTGGAGTTACGGACAGTTGTTAGCTGCCATATGGGTGCTAGGATTCGAACCCGGGTCTTCTGCAAGAACAGTCAGTGTTCTTAACTGCTGAGCCATCTCTCAAGCCCTAGAGTCTGTTTTAAACAACCACCCCATCTGACCCTAGTGATTCATGATACCTGGGGACATGATCTTGAGGCACCCTCAACAGGAGGGTGGCTCATGTGGGGAGAGTTGAGGAAGGCCTTAGAGAAGCTACAGTGGGCTGGGCCTTTCATGTTGGGTGAGGAGTAGGGAAGGGGTTCCAGCTGGAACAGATGTGAACTGAGGCGTGGAGGTCGTGAAACCACCAGAGTGGCAGAAAGGGACCAGTGCTTGCATCAGGGTGTAGGGGTTGCACAAGCAAATCCTGGGAGAAGTTTCAGTAAGAACTTGCTAAAGAGACAAAGAGCTTAGCTGTTATCTTGTGGGCGCTGGAGAGCCTGTGGTGAGCCTCCCACTGAACCTGGCAGGCCTGGAGTCTGGTGGTAGGCAGGGTTCAGCATGCAGGTTCGCAGCACCGCCTGGTGACCACATTTCTCACTGCAACATGACATTGTCCGGGAAAGGGAGGGCGACATTGCACACCAGGACCAGTTCCAGACTTGGAAGTGGGACAGGTCCCTGCTGGACTCTCTGCAAGTCCTCCCAGGCCAGAGCCCCTCACTGGACATGAGGCGGCTTGGGTGTCATGGTCTAGCATGGCAGGCTTTTGCTACATCATTATTCTGTTCTGCAGCAGGTCCCATCTCCACACATTGGCACTTAACAGCCTCCTCAGGCCTTGGGAATTTGCTGAAATATTCTTTGTCTCTGTCTCTGTCTCGCTATCTCTCTGTCTCTGTCTCTCTCTCCCTGGTATTTTGAAACAGGGTCTCTCTGTAGCTCCAGCTGGCCTGGAGCTCACTATGTAGACCATACTGGCCTCAAACTCACAGAGATCTGCCTACCTCTTGCTTTTCAAGTGCTGGGATTAAAGGCATGTGCCACCATGCCTTCTCTTATTAGAGTCCCCTCTACCCTCGCCCCATTTGCTCTCACCCCTAGGCTATGCAGATTTTCACTGTATGTTCAGAGAAGAAATGTACCAAGGAGTGTGTGCTTTTCCAATCCACTGAAGCGTCCGCAGGATTGTTTATAAAATGGTAACTGCTTTCTCAGGATGAGGGACTTTCACGTCAATCTTTCCTTTTGTACTGTACTGTCTTTATACTCCATCACAATTTTTTGAGACAGGATCTTGTTCTGTAGCCCAGGCTGGCCTGGAACTCACTATATAGTCCAGGCTATATAAACCAGTGGCAATCCTCCTGCCTCAGACTCCCAAATGTTAGGATTATGGGCATGAGCCACCACACCTCACACAAATTTATTTTGGAAAAAAAACCCTTGAAATAAAGCATATGCTTTAAATCAAAGTTGGGCTTTGTGAAGCTCATGTAGACAGGACAAGTGGCCCTGTGGTCCCAGAGCTGGTCTTTGAATGGTTCACAGGATTCTATGTCCCCCTGCACTCTGACCTACAAACTCACATGCAGTTTCTCTATAGATCTAGGCACATGGCAGTTACACAAGGCTCACCTCCCACCAGATAGCTGACAGCCTTCCTCACTGGCTTCCTGCTGCCTTGCACCTCCACCTCCCACCAGTGGATGTCCAACTCATTAGAGTCTTTCTGTTTCCCAAGACCCCAGGGCCCTGCCCCCAAATCAGAGCCCTGTTAACTCTCCTGCAGAGCCACTCTGCAGAGCCGTTCCAGCCTCCCGGTTTTTCAGCTCCTCCAGGGCTACAGGGGTGTCTTTTGCTGTCCCAGCAGCCTGGAATGATGCTGCCCCCCATCCCCAGGCCTGTGCTCCAAATCACATCCTGCCATGCCTCCTCTGACCACCTAAGGCATCCTCTCTTGCACACTATGCTGCCACCAGGCTTCAGTTCTTCCTGGCAGTACCATCTGGGATTCCTGCTACTTTTGTCTCCTAGTTCTCCCCAAATATGATCCCTGGCTGAGGGCAGGGCCTTGCAGACACTGCGGGCAACTGTTCCATGCAGAGCCCACGACTGTTTTACAGTGGCTTCCAGGAAATGGTTGTTTGGTGAGAGGTCTGGGGCCTGGGGGTTCAATGGAGACACTGAAGTTGAATGAACTTAATGAACTTACCTGGTCAACTAGCCAGATGTCTCAAAGTCTAAGGGAAAGACACCTGTTTTCTGCCATTTTCCCTCTGGAAGGCTGCAGCCACACATCTGCCATGCTTTGTTTTGTGACCTCAGCAGAGGATTGGTCTGGGTCTGTGCTCAGCACTGGCTTGAGGGAACCCCCAGTCAGAGGCTGTGGGTTTTGTCTTGGTTGCCTGACATTTACTGGGCATTTGATCTGTGCCAGGCGCTGGATAAAGGCTTTCTCTTTACTCTTCGGCGCCACCCTATGAGATGGGTACCATGTCTCCCAGAAGTGGTGGAGCTGGAACTTAGGCATGGGCTGGATTGTCTGAGTAGGGATCTTGAGTCTCCCGCCTGGTGAGCTCTCAGGAAGCAGGTCTCTGGCATAGCCACTTGTCTTCTGTGCCCTCTGGAAGCCAGCACATTGGAAAAATGCTGTAACTCAATGATGTGGTGAGAATGTGACCTGGATTCAAGGGTGGCCTTGCCACCTGGATGTTTCTCTGCCCTTGTTTCTTCCTGTGAAATGAGATCAGTTCCCACCCCTCTGTTGTGTGGGGAAGTAGCTGAGCAGGCTGGGCCCAGGGGAACAGCTTACTGGACTCTGCAAATACATCCTATCAGGCCAGCAGATCAGGGAGTACCGGGGAGCACTCAGAAAGCTGTTCACTGGCCCCAACACTTATTCCATATATAATCTGTGTGTGTGTATATTATCCTTTTGCAACAGGGTCCTCAATATGTAGCTAAGGCTGGGCTATGTAGCCTAAGGCTGCCTCAGCTTCCCAACTGCAAGGATTACAGGCGTGCACCGCCATGCCTGGGTGAAGCGTATCCTCTTGGGTCCTCTCCCCATCTTTATGATGGTGAAAGCCATGCATCTTTCTTTACTACCCTCACTTATCCACAAAGCTGTCAACTAAGTAAAAGGGACACTTCCAGGTTCTGCAAGGCGGAAGCTCAGAGAGACAGCCTAGAGCTATTTCATGCTGGACACACCCCGAGATGGGAGTTAAGCACCAGACCAAGGCAGCAGGCAGAAATGAGTTTATTGCATTAGAAAAAACACCAATGAAAACTGGCAAACAACTCCTTACTAGACATAATTATTAGTCTGACTTCAAGGAAGTCATGAAGGAATCTCAAAGGTACAAGCTTTATTTCTTCTGGGAGAGGATGACAATCTCACACATCCACTCCCGTCCCTTTAGACAGACCTCAAGAAGTCCACTGTGTGACACGAACATGATTCATTTCCCACACAGCTTGCCTGTACATGCCCATGTGACGTTAGCTGGTCACAATTAGCAATGTTGCTCCTGAGATACTGGGAGAAAGGTGAGGGTGGGGTGTCCTGGTCTCGGCTTCTGGTGACAGGGGCTTGGCAAGCTGGAAAAAGACGGGCTCTCAGGCAAGAGTGATAACTTCCATCAGCCTGCAGCTTCCCGGAAGCCCAGCCTTGGACACCCACTCTTGAGGGTCCCATCCTGCCAGGAGACCCATACTAAACAGTCCCCGCTGGTCTCCACTCTAATTTACTGTTGCCATGCAGGCTTGCAAACCCGTGGTCTTCAGAACTGGACTGCTCACTTATTTGGATGTCACCTGACATTCCGGTTGGACTTGGCCCTGGTCAGGTCAGGGCAAACACTAAGGCAGAATGACATCTTTTCCTCTTGCAGAGGTCCTGATGATGCCAACTGCTATGGCTATCAGCAAAGACAGGAGGCGATGGGCAAGCATGGCCCAGCAGCAGCTTTTCATGGAGGAAAGGCCCTGTCCCAGGAGAGCAACTGAGCTCAAGTTTCAGATTAGAAGTGGTGGGACACCTGGCAGGGCAGCCCAGGTTTCACGGAGCTGCTCTGGGTCCCTTTCTCCACACTCAATCCCCCAAACCAGCAAGTCGAAGGCTCGAGTGAAGAAAGGGAATCTGAAAGCCTCTCTGGATCATAGACTTCCAGACTGTTCTATGAACTCCAAGAATCACATCATTAGGAAAACACCCACTCACACCCCAACCATGTTTCCTTCAAGCCAGAATGACAATGGAAATAAGGGCATGTTTAAAACACGTTTAGGAAACTCTATGGGAGGCAACTTTGACTTTTCTTGCCACCTTGATTCTGCACCATTACTTTCTGAATCAAATTTGTTCCTAGAGAGGACAATCACGCCCCCTCGCCTCAGTCCCTAGATGAACCCCTCATATGAGTTTGGGTGGCTGATCCTAGTGACACACAGATTAACAACATAATTGTTTGCAGACAGAAAGCCTGGGTCTCTGCTGCTTCAACTCAGACCTTACAGTAACAGTGCCAGGTCAGCTACGCTGAGGAAGAGTGGCTTGTGGGCAGGTAGAGAGGCAGGCGCTCCAAAAATGATGGTGGAGGACTGGCACTCGGTCTAGCCAAGAGGAGAAATGGCTTTATCCTGTTTTCTCTAGCCTGATCCTTGCTGTCAATCTCCTTTGATCCTGAGGCTCTGGCTGCTCCAGCTCTGGCCCCATAGCAGGCTTTGCTTGGGAAAGGGAAGGTCAGAGTTGTAGTTAAGAGTTCACTTGTGTTGAGTTAGTTATCCTACAATTGGTCCTACATGCATCAAATCCTTTGGTTCATTTAATGCCGGACAGTAACCGCTTCAGGCTCGTGGATTTTATAAAACTCACCTGGCTCTCACAGGTGTGGAAACCTGGGTGGAATGTGGGCATTCTCTGGAAAGAGGGTCCAGACCAGGATTCTCCCAAACTGCCTCCTGCTTTCTGTCTAAACAAACGCTCTCCCTTTCTCCAATGTAGAAGACGCTTAGGAAATAGCGTCAAAAGTGAACTCACAGACAAGACAGCCTTAATAAATTATTATAATACTATTAGAAGGGATGGCGTTTTGTTCTGCCTCTCAGGAGCAATGTCCTGCATGCAGCCTGGTGATCTCCTTCCCTGGGAAATTTAAAAAAACCATCCCCTGGTTGTTAGCTCTGATGTAAAATTATAAAATAGAAATCTGGTAGGGTTTGTTTTGTTTAAAAAGGAAAAGCCCTGGAGAGGTGGGCGGTCCTGAGCAGTCCTGTTAGCTTTGGCCGTTGGGTCTGCCTACAGAGTTCCCTCCGGGAGGCTGGATCTGGATGGAGTCCAGGAGGGGCCGAAGTGCCTGTCCAAACGGCCTGTGAAGAAAGACACATGAGACGGGAAAGTTGAAATGGGCGCGGACAGGCTATGGCAGCACCACCACACACTGATTTTCTTAAGGGGGCTATAGTTTGCTGAGTGCTCCCAAAGGCACATATGCTAAGAGACTTGGTCCTCAGCCTGCAAAGCATTTGAGAGGTGGTAGGGCCTGGTGGAGGCTTTCTAGTCTTTGGAGGAGAAAATGGGATCCCAGCCCTTTCTGCTCTCTTTGCTTCCTGGCCAGAAGAAGTAAGCAGCTTTGCTCTACCATGCGCTCCCTGATTTGGTAAGTTTCTTTGGCACAGGCACAAAGGGCCAAGTGACCATGGACTAAAACCTCTGATACTGTGTGCCAAAGTAGAGTCTTCCTCCTTATAAACTGGTTGTCTCTTTGTTACAGTAACAGGAAGCTTGACTGACCAAGAACACCTTCCAAATAGGCTGTTTTCTATCTTTACTCCCAGGGTCCCCTCTTCTGTGGGCGCTACCATCTTATTACTGACTCCCTAAGTCTGTTCAGCTGTTGTTTCAATAGGCTGGTTACCCACAGGGAACTAGATTTCTGTACTTCCTCCTGATTTCCTGCCTCTACTTCCCAAGGGCTGGGATTGCACACATGTGCCAAAACATCCAGCTTACTTGTACCTTTAATTCTTGCAAAGAGGAAAATAAAAAATCAAATTAAAGCCAGGAAGCTGAGGCACAAGAAAAAGGAAGTCAGGATGAAGTCAGGAGAGAAGAGGCTCCAAGCCTGGATTCTTCAAGGAATATAGGGATGCTCAGAACAAATGACCAACGGTGTTGATGTTACTAAAGGGCACCTACTTAAAAAAAAATCACTGCAAACACTGGAGTCTGGAGAAGTTTTGAGATTACCGCACTCTTAAGGTGGCCTACAATACATCCTGGGCACAAGTGTTTTCCTCAGAGGAAAATAGTGTGCATTCCCCACCACCTCCACGAGGTGTGGTTAAGTAACCCAGCCTGGCCTCAAACTCACTGTGGTTCCTTTGCCTCAACCTGTACCAGGACTACAGTGTGCACACCACACCTAGCTGATACTGTGCCATACACACACCTTTTTTTTTTTTTGGTCTTTCTGAGATAGGGTCTCTCTGTAGCCCTAGCTGTCCTAGAACTTGCTATGTAGACCAGGTTGGCCTTGATCTCACAGAGATCTGCCTGCCTATGTCTCCTGAGTGCTGGGATTAAAGGCGTGCACTACCACATCCAGCTCCTTTTCTTTTTTTTTAAAATAAATTATTTTATGTGTATGAATGTTTTGCCTGTATGTATGTAAGTGCACCACATGTGTGTAGTACCCAGAGTCTAGAAGAGGGTGTTGGATCCTCTGGACTGGAGTTACAGTTGGTTGTGAGATGCCGTGTGGATGCTGGGAACTGAACCCGAGTCCTCTGTAGAGTGGCGAGTGCTCTTACCTGCTGAGCCATCTCTTCAGCCCTGACTCTTCCTTTTTTGAAACAGGATTTTACTATGTAGCCCTGGCTGGCCTGGAACTCAGTTATAGACCAGGCTGGCTACCTGCCTCTGCCTCCTGAGCACTGGCATTAAAGGTGTGCATCCTTATACTAGGCTGATTCTGCCATTTTTGAAAATCAGTCCTGGGGCTGGAGAGATGGCTCAGTGGTTAAGAACACTGGTTGTTCTTGCAGAAGACCTGGGTTCAAATCCCAGCACCCACATGGCAGCTAACAACTGTCTGTAACTCCAGTCCCAGGGGATCCGACAGCCTCTTCTGACCTCCTCAGGCATTGCACGACATGGGTGCACTTACCTACATGCAGGCAATACACGCATACACATTTAAAAAAAATTATATAAAAAAAAGAAAATCAGTCCTAAGATATAGGGAATGAAGTGCTCAAAGTACACACAGATCCAAGTGGAAGGGCTGGAGAGGTGGTTTAGTGGTTAAGAACACTGGTTGCTCTTGCAGAGGACCCAGGTTCAATTCCCAGCACCATAGATCCAAGTAGAAATATCAATCCGAATGCAGACACCCCAGTATTTGCACCCTTTACATAGTAACAAGAACATCATTCAGGGTCTTATAACCTCGATCCTTCAGTAGGGCTGTAAGAGTTCACACACCCACCGGGATATGAAGGCAGTGACAGGACTGGAAACTAGGGCTCCTCAGCAGCCTTGTTTCCTATGCAGTTTTTTCCTGGGGGGTTCCTACTCAAGTGTGAAAAACAGCTTCCCTTGTAGATCTAGCTAAATGTGCCAGGTCCCTGCAAGACTCTAATTCAGGAGAAACTGAGTCAGAGACAGCAAAGGACACAGTCCAGGAGAGGCAGACACACCTTGATACAATCAGAAAAGGGAGGGAGAAGGTGAGATGCCTTTGGGGGTGTGGGTCCCTTCAGAAGATGACTCCTGGATGATGGCCCACATGCCTTTCCTAGGGTTGGGACCAGTTAGGGCAGAGGACTACAAAGTGTCCTGGAAGGAAACTTCTGCTGAGGGCTCTCTGAACTGTAAGGTTCATGGACAAGCAGAACCTGGTTGTTGAGGGAGTCAGAGCTGAAGGTGTGGTGACAGAAAGATAAACAACAGTTATGAAAGGCGCTGACCTCCTCTGCCATTTTTTGAAGTCTGCACTTTAGATGGGCACTGCTGGGAAATAGCTTGCTTCATCTATCAGGTACCAGGATTTTGTCCAAATACTGAAGGAAGTGTCAAGTGGAGTCTAAGTTCTGCCGTGGCACTTAGACCAACATAGAGTGAGTCTATCGCTAAAGAGGGTGTGGTCAGACTGGAACACACTGGTGGGTGGGGAGAATGGGGACCTTCTGTGGTAGAAACTGCCACAGACTGGTGCTTCTGGCTGGGAGGATTCTGCTGCCACCAGGGGAGGGACACTGACTATGAATGGAGACTCTTTCCTTTCCTTTTTTTTTTAAATTATGTGTATGCAAGTATTGCCTGCATGTAGGTAAGTGCACCTGCGCCGTACAATGCCCGAGGAGTTACTGGGACTGGAGTTATGGACAGTTGTTAGCTGCCATGTAGGTGCTGGGATTCAAACCTGGGTCTTCTGCAAGAACAACCAATGTTCTTTCATTTTTCTTTTGGTCTTTTTGAGACAGGGCCTCCCTGTAGCCCCAGCTGTCCTGGATTCACTATGGAGACCAGGCTGGCCTCGAACTCACAGAGATCAGCCTGCCTCTCCCTCCAGAGTGCTGGGATTAAAGGCCTGAGCCACCATGCCAGCAAGAACAACCAATGTTCTTAACCACTGAGCCATCTTCAGCCCCTGCTTTTTTTTTTTTTTTTAAAGACAGGCTCTCAGGGAGCTCACTACATAGCTGAGGCTGGTCTGTAACTTTCCTGATTGTCCTGACCTTGCCTTGAATGGGGATTTCCAAAGTTGGTCAAGGCAGGGGCAGAAATGCACAGGTCCCACTTACGTTGAGAGAACTTCAGAGGGCAGGTCGGTGATGTAAGAAGGAATCTTCCGCCCAGTCAGGAACTGTGCCACTTCGTTGCTGAACGTGTTACAGTTGTGTTCAAAGAGGTTGTAAGCCTCACCTCTGTAGATGTGAGAAAGGGGTAGAGAGCAGTTGAGCAAGCCAGCCAGCAGCTATGTGGAACAACTATGACCAGAGATGAACAGGTGGACCTAGCTGCCCAGCTGGCCTGCTGAAACAGGCCAAAGGACAGCTCAGTCTGTAGCTCTGGACCTGTAAGAAGGGACTGACAATGGAGGATGAACTGAAAACATAGTTTCCAGTTCCAGAATCTTTTTTTTTTTGGTCTTTTTGAAGCAGGGTCTCCCTGTGGCCCCAGCTGTCCTGGAACTCACTATGTAGACCAGGCTGGCCTTGAACTCACAGAGATCCGCCTGCCTCTGCCTCCCAAGAGCTGGGACTACAGGTGTGCACCACCACACTGGCAGAATCTTTTTTAAAAAAATATTTTATTATTTTTATTTTATATGTATGTGTGTTTTGCCTGCATGTAGGTAATTGCACCCATGTTATGCAAAGCCCTTAGAAGACAGAAGAGGCTGTTGGATCCCCTGGAACTGGAGTTATGGACAGTCGTTAGCTGCCATGTGGGTGCTGGGATTCAAACCCAGGTCTTCTGCAAGAACAACCAGTGTTCTTAACCGCTGAGCCATCTCTCCAGCCCCCAGTTTCAGAATCTTTAGATTCACAAGAGCACACTAGGGTTAGAGCAAAACCCTCACTGAAGTAAGTTGCTTTTTAAAAAAAGTTTTTAACATTTATTTAGTGTGTTTGTGTGTATGAGAGAGAGAGAGAGAGAGAGAGAGAGAGAGAGAGAGAGAGAGAGAGAGAGAATGCAGACATATGTGAGGGCAACTTGTGGGTTTTTGATTTTTTCTTCAGTGTGGGCCTTGGGGATCTAATTCAGGTCGTCAGGTTGATAGCAAGCACCTTTACCCATCCAACTATCTCATCAGTCCTCAGCTATTTATGAGACAGGGTCTCTAGCTCAGGTGGGCTTCAAACTCTATTTGTAGCTGAGGATGACCTTGAACTTATGATCTTCCTGCCTCAACCTCCTAAGTGCTGGGACTACATGTGTTCAACAACATACCAGTTTATGCAATGTTGGGGATTGAACCCCAGGCTTTGTGCATGATAGGCAAGCACTCTACCAACTGAGCTATAACCCCAGCCACAATAAAACAAAGAGAAAATCTATTCAAGTTTATATTTCATCTGATTCCTTCTAAAAAACCTTGCTTTTGATGGTCAGGAAAAAGCACTTGGCCAGTGGAAGTGGAGAACAGTATTTATGGATTTTAATAAGAGGGAATGAAACTTTCCTCTAAGTTCCAGCAGAAAGCATGCCGGGATGAAGTGTCTGCTTGAACAGATTTGGGCTCTTTTGGTTGCACAGTAACTGCATTCTCTTCATATTCATTAGCAAAGACTGGACCAGGCTTGTGCTGATTGTATCAGGGAAGGGGGCATAGTCCAACCTTTTAGGGGTTGATTCTCTAGTTGTGGAGATACAGCCAGCCACCACCCTGTCCGTCCTTACTCACCGGAACAGAGATTCCCCCAGAGAAGACAGGTATTCCAGAAAGATTTCCTCTGTGACTTCTGTGCTTCCCACATCAACCACAGAGTCTGGGGGCCCAAGCAATGTCCCTCCCTGAAAGAACCAACCCGGAGAAAGTCATTAAGTCACCATCACTACTGCCTTTTCTTCTTTAATTGCGCTGGGCAATCAATCAGGCCCAGGGCCTTAAGCTAAACACTCCACCACTGAGTTTACCCTTATGACCTCTGTTGAACTAATTAAAAATAATTAATTTTTATTTATGTTTTTTTTTGTTTCCCTGTAGCCCCAGCTGGCCTGGGATGCACTATGTAGACCAAGTTGGCCTTGAACTCTGGCCTCCCAAGTGCTGGGATTAAAGGTGTGTGCCATCATGCCTGGTCTAAGGCTTTTGTTTTTAAATGTGGCTTTCCACCCAAGGCCACAAAAGCTCTGTTCTAAAACTTATTTTTAACTTTTGGAGTACCCTTCGCAGATGAAGAGGGCTATTTCCTATTTGTGTCAAGGTTATAAAGTTTAGAGCTGGGCTTCTTGTTGGTGAGGCCTCGGAAGCTGATTCTCTTGCAGGTCCATTCATTCTGCTGTTAAGAAGACAGAAACCCAGAATCATGTCTCCTTTTGCCCTAATAGGCCTGATCACAAGGACAGAACACAACAACTCTTGCCACAGGAGACCAGAGGAGTAGGTACACTAGCCAAGAGGGACGCAACAGGGCACCAAGGAGGAGAGCAGAGCTGCCTGAAGAAGCCACTGACTGACAGTCCCTGAGTGCTTCCTGTGAGGCTAATGTTCTAGGCATGAGGAAGGCATGATGAACAGGACTAGTAACTATGGCAGCCTAGGGATACTTACTTCAGAGATGTACAGGGGTCAAGGTCACTACTCACGCTCTTATTAATCACTCACATAACATACTGAGAACTTACTGTGCGCACACTTAATGCTGGGTACTGGGGCACAATGCATGCAAACAAGTGAGATTTTTGCCCACATGGAACTTAAAGTCTATCTGGGAAGGTAGACAAAACAATCCTGTAAATCAGTGTGTAATGAACCAGCTGAAATAAGGGCTATGTTGGAAAAGTACTGAATGCCCTTAGTACCTCTGACAGGGAAGGTCACAAGATTTGCCCCAAGTGACACTGAGAGCAATCTGAAGGAGAGGCGTGTCTGAAGAAGCCTATGTGGGTAAAGGTCAGGAAGCTGTTCTGAGGTTGCTGTACAGGTTAGCCCAAAGTGTGCTCAAGCAGTAACTAAGAAGGCAGTTAGGGAGGTTACAACCTGGATAGAGGCTGGCTGGAGAGGGAGCCAGAGACCAGCTCACGGCAATCCCTGCTGAGTCTTCTGACTAAAGCAGAGGAATGCTTTGAAAAAAACAATCACTTTGAACAGGCCAAGATGGCACATAATTGTAATCCCAGCACCAGTGAGGTGGAGACAGGATCAGAAGTTCAAGGTCATTCTTGGCTACAAAGAGTTTGAGGCCAGTCTGGGCTATATGAGACCCCATCTCAACAAAAAGGGTGGAGGGCTGGAGAGATGGCTCAGTGGCTGCTCTTGTAGAGGACCTGAGTTCCGTTCCCAGCACTCACATGGTGGCTAACAACCATCTGTAACTCTAGTTTCAGGGGATCTAATGCCCTTTTCTGGCCTTGTGGGCATTGCATGACATGGGTGCACTTACACATATGCAGGCAAAACAAACATAAAAAAATAAAAATAAAATATTAAAGAAAATCACTTTGTTTCCTATATGGAGGACAAAGGGAGATCAGGAGGCTATCACCCACAGGTCCAGGCTAGAGAGGAGAGTGGTCAGGACCAGAGTGAAATGTTTGGAAATGGAAAGAGATGAGGAGAGAAAGACTAAGATACACTGACAAGGTAGAATTGACTAGGCTTTCTGGGTGTAGGGACACACACCTGAAATCCTAGCACCTGAGCGGTGGAGGGAGACACAGGAGAAATCAGGAGTTCAAGATTATTCTCAATGAATTTGAGGTTAGCCCTGGGCTATATGAGACCTTTTTAAAAAAGCAAACACACACACACACACAAAAAGAACCGACTAGGCTTAATGAAAGGTTTATTATAGGTAGGGCGGACAGTGAAAGAAATCGGGAATTGCTTCCTACTCATGATATCAAAATAAATGGCTCGTCTTTGCTTGAGCACATCGTTTGATGACTTTAAAAAATGTTTTATTTATTCTATGTGTATGAGTATATTTTATATGTATGTATGTGTATGCATGTATGTAAGTGCACCTGTGTCGTGCAATGTCCGCAGAGGTCAGAAGGCAGCCTGGCTACCCTGGAACTGGAGTTTGGTTGTTAGCTGCCTTGTGGAACCAAACCCAGGTCCTTAGCAAGAGCAGCCAGTGTGCTTAACCACTGAGTCATCTCTCCAGCCCCTCCTTGATAACTCTTAGTTACCTCTGACAGGAATGTTCTGGAAAGGCCATGGGTTTTACACTCAGAGACCATGTAAGAGGGATCCACAGGAGCAGGCAGAATGGAGAGGGCAGCTGGCTGGGTTACCTGATAAAGATGTTCTCAAATGAGTCAGTCTCTCTCCCTGGGTGCAAACGATGAAATCCAGAGCCTGGATGCTAGGCAAGTGTTCATCACTGACACGCCCCCAACTCTTAAATGAGCCTTAACATCTGTTTTTCTTTTTTTGGCTTAAAATTCTTTTTACATTTATTTGTGTGTGTACACGTGTACACAGGTTGGAGGACAACTTGCAGGACTCAGTTCTCTCCTTCCACCATGTCAGTTCCAGGGATTGAAGTTAGGTCACCAGACTTGGTGGGTGGCAGGCAACTTTTATCTGTGGACTCATCTCTCTGGTCCCATTTTTTTACTTTTTTAAAGTTTTTTATGCTGGGCATGGTGGCATGCACCTTTAATCCCAGCACTCAGGAGGCAGAGGCAGGTGGATCTCTGTGAATTCAAGGCCAGCCTGGTCTACATAGCAAGTTCCAGGCCAGCTGGGGCTACAGGGAGAAACACGGAGACCCTGTCTCCAAAAGACCAAAAAACCCCACCAAACCTTTTTACTACATTTATGTTATGTGTGTGTGTGCACATGCCACACATATGCCACAATGCATGTATGGAAGTTAGAGGACAACTTGTGTGAGTCAGTTCTACTGTGTGGGTCCCAGGGATCAAATTCAGGCTGTTAGGCTTTGGTGGCAAGTGCCTTGGTCCACTGAGCCATCTCAGCCATCTCACTGGCCCCCAGTTTTTTGTTGTTTACTTTTTTGAGATAGAGTCTCTTGTAACTCATGCTGGCCCTGAACTCAGTCCTTGAACATAGTCAAGGATGACCTTGAACTCCTGATCCTCCTGTCTCTACCTCTCAAGTACTGGGATCACAAGCACACTTAGCTTGAGTCTTAGGGTCTGTATAAGGAACTAGGCTACAGCCTTCTTCACACACTGAGCCACAGGGCAGAGGTAGACAGTAGAAGCAACATTCGTGGCCTACAGGAAGCCCCCCTGGAGTCACAGGCTGCAGGTCAGGGGAAGATACTCACCGGGGGACAGCTGGAAATACCACCACTGCCGAAGAAGAACTCATCCTTGTGCACAACTATGGAGGTGTGCCTGCCACACAGAGAGGACAGTGAGCCAGTAACCTACTTCTCCAAGGAAAAGCAAGCACTACAGTGCAATGAGAGTACTTTCTGCCCAAAGATGTGACAGTGGTAGCCAGTCTTAGAAGACTACCCAAATAAAGGTATGTGAGAGAGACAGTGCCCCTCCCTATTTGGGAGGAGCTGACCCAGGACTGCCCCCAACCCAGGACTGCCCCCAACCCAAATCCACATATGCTCAAGTCTCTTATATAAAATAGTACAGGATTTGCACAGAACCTGTAATCATCCTAAGTACACGCTGAAGCACTTCAAGATGACTTATATTAATAGGACTACATAATAAGACTATATATAACATTCGGGCTGGAGAGATGGCTCAATGGTTAAGAACACTGGCTGTTCTTGCAGAAGACCTGGGTTCAGATCCCAGCACCACATGGCAGCTAATAGCTGTCCATAACTCCAGTTCTAGGGGATGTGACGCCTTCTTCTGACCTCCGCAGACATTGCACAACATGGGTGCACTTACCTACATGCAGGCATAACACTTATACATGCAAAATAAAAATAGTAAGAGGTAAAATATTAAAAAAATAAGCCCACGACACTCAAATAATTGTTATACTAATAGGACTATATGAATGGCACTCTACAAATATTATTATACTGTATTTTTTAGGAATCATGACAAAAACAGTCTGTATATGTTTAGGACAAACATATTTACCATTTCTGAACATTTTCTTTCTTTTTTTAAAAGTAATTTATTTGTGTGTTGGGGGGCAGACAACTTCTACCATCTGGACTCTGGGGATCCAGCTCAGGTTGTCAGGCTTGGAGGTAAGTACCTTTAGTAGCCAAGCCACCTCTCCGGTTCCTCGTCTGTCATTCTTCCTTTCCTTTCTACACGTACTTACTGTGTATATGTGTGCATGGATGAGCATGTTTGTGCCACGGCATACATGGAGGTCAGAGAACAATTGTGGGAGTTGATTTTCTCCAAGAAAAAGGCTCCAAGATCAAACTCAAGTTGTCACGCTTGGTGGCAAGTGTGCTCACAAGCTAGGTCATCTCGTTGGCCTTTTCTTTTTTCTTTAAATCCTTACGTCACAGAGCTATTTTATTAGCACCAACATCCCTGATTTTGACACTGCTCAAGAGATAGCTTATGCATATCCACAGTAGAATAGGTAGCACTGTGGTATATTCATGTTCTGAATATTTTCAGTTGTAGCAAGTGAAATTCATGGACAAGGAGGGCTGCACATGCAATGACTGGGTGTCCTCCACCTGGGCTCTGCTAGTTAGATGATTGTGGAGTCAATTTTCTCCTTCCCAGTGGATGATTTTTTGCTGTGGAAGCACTATAGGATGTTGAACAGTATTCCTAGACTACCCAGTAGGCACCTCCATTTAGCTGTGACACACAAAAAATCTCTAGCACTGCTAACACCTCGTGGTGGAGGGACTTAACCATCCTGTGGAGAACTGCTGTTTTGGGATATGGGAATTAACAGAGCTAGGTTTCTGGCTGGGAGCCATAGACTGCTCTGAAATGTGCAGAGAGTTGCTCTGATCATAGAGCAGTAGGAGTCTCAGTCCACTTACCAGATGCCTTCCAGTTGTTTCCCTGTGGAGAAGAGAAGAGAGTTAGGCACTTGGGACTGGACCAAATGGTCCCTGTCAGCCTCAGGAAATTCAGAACTCACTCAAACTAGGAGGAAACTATTAGAAACCTCACGAGGACTTTCTGGAGATGTGGCTCTCTTCATGCCTGTCCTCTGGTCCTGATAAGGGTGCTGCACTTGGTAAGTTTGAAGTAATTTTGTGGGCCAGTCTGATGGCTCAGCAGATCAAGGCACTTGCCACCAAACTTCACAACCTGAGTTTGCTCCCCAGGACCAAGATGGCAGAAAAAGAACCAATTCCTGCAAGTTGTCCTTTGACCTCCACACCTGTACCGTGGTATGCACACCCACTCCAACCACCCCTCCAACAGATGATATATAAAAAAAAAAAATCTTTTAAAAAGTAATTTTTGGCTGGGTGTGATGGCACATGCCTTTAATCCCAGCACTCGGGAGGCAGAGGCAGGTGGATCTCTGTGAGTTCAAGGTCAGCCTGGTCTACATAGTGAGCTCCAGGACAGCTGGGGCTACAGGGAGACCCCGTCTCAAAAAGACACCCCCCCCCTAAAAAAAGTAATTTTCCTTTCTCAGAAAGCAAAATAAAAACACTGGCATAAATGTTATGCCCATTCTTATTTCCCTTTTTAATTTCTCTGTCTCAACCACAGTAAAGACATAGTAAAACAACAGAAGCTGTTACCTGTGAGGCCGGGCTGGGTCTGGAACTCACATTGTAGACCAGGCTGGCCTTGAACTCACAGAGATCCACCTGTCTCTGCCTCTGCTTCTCATGGCCTATTAAGCAATCCCTCTATGTGCCAGCAATGTTAGGTGTCACAATGCAAACACAAAGATTATCCTCACTCTAGAAGCTCAAAGTCAAATGGAAAGAGACACACAAATAATTAAGTAAAACATAATGTTGATCAGCTCTGTAGCAGTGGTAAAAATAGGACATTATATCTAATAAAGATAAAGAACCACCCTCATGAGCTTGACTTCAACGAGTGACAGAGCAAGCAGGGACAAAGCTGGACGTTTATGCCAGAGAACAGTGTGTGCAAATATGTAACTGTGAAGACTGAGGCTGGCAGGCAGAGGCAAGAGCAGTGACCATGGCATGAAGAGGAGCAGCTGGCAGAGCCACGGCAAGGCAGAGTGGGCTGGACAGAAGCAGAATACTTCCATCAGATCCACCCTACAATTTTTTTTTTTTTTTTAATGTTTTTGAGACAGGGTATCACTGTAATGGGGGCTGGTCTGGAACTCACTATGTAGATCAGTTTGGCCTTGAATTCACAGAGATCTTCTTGCCTTTGCCTCTGGTGCTGGGACCACAGGCACCGACCACCACAACCAGCTCCACCCTAAATTTTTTTTATTTATTGTGTGCAGGCAAATACTCATACACATTAAAAATAAATCTTTATAAATCCCAGCACTCGGGAGGCAGAGGCAGGGTTAGGGTGAGTTCAAGGCCAGCCTGGTCTACACAGTGAGTTCAGGACAGCTGGGGCTACAGGGAGACCCTGTCTCAAAAAGACCCAAAAAATATATACACTATAGGAGATGTAGAGAAGATGACTGTGAGGGCGGAGCTGAAAGAGCAGCGTAGAGGTCACGGGCAGATCCCTGGGAGATAGCACAGCTCACTGCTCAGACGAAGGCAGTGAAGGCAGTGGGAACAGGGGCAACTCTCTTACCCGGAGTTAGCAGTTCACATGAGTTCTTGCTGATTGCTAAGGGCCGCCTCTGTTGTCCAGCAGGGAAGGAGAGTGGCCCCTTGAATTTCTGCCTGTGCTTGTATTACACTGTTTCCTTTTCTAGGTCAATTATAAAATTTCAAATATGTCTCTTATGCTTAAATTTGTTTATTTACTTGTACTGGGAATGAATTCAGAGCCTTCCGCATGCTGAGCAGGTGCTCTACCACTGAGCTCTACTCCCAGGCTCTAGAGAACTCTTTCTGGGACAAGGTCTTATGTATCCCTGGCTGGCCTAGAGCTTGTTATATGGCTAAGGATGACCTTGAATTTCTGATCCTCCTGCCTCCACCTTCTGAGTGGTGGGGTTAAAGGTCTACCACATTTGGCTTATGTGATGCTGGGTGATGGAACCCAGGACTCTGTACATGCATGGAAACATTTTACCACTGGAGCTCTATTCCCAGCCCTGTTCTCACACATTTTAAAAGTAGTGTGTAGGGCAAAGATTAATCTGTGTTTCTTCATTTAAAAAATATTTTATTTATTTTTATTTTACCTGTATGAGTGTTTTGTCTGCATGTAAGTGCACCATGTATGTACCTGTGGAGGCCCTTGGAATAAGTGTTAGCTGCTCTGTGTGGTTTGGGTCCTATGGAGGAGCAGGAAGTGCTCTTAACTGCTGAGTCATCTTTCCAGCCTCAGGCAAAGATTTATTAACACGTTTTTTCAATGATGAATAAAGGTGCAGGTTTGTCTAGTGTAAACGGCAGAGCAAGGTATGAAGATGAGCGGCTGGAGAAGCTTAGGCAGAAGTGTAAGGCTTGCTGCTGCAGCCAACTGCTACACAGAAAAGAACAAGGGCTATGCCTCGACAAGACGACAGGCAGTGGGAAGGGAACTGCAGAGAATCTGGGGGCAAGATCAGGATGGGAGTAGGCGGAGCGGGTGGTGAGACAGAAGTAGGGCACAAAGCCATCTGGGAACCTGAATTAGGCTCAATGGATATTAGCACAGTATAGAAGCAGATTATTCCCCACTGGGATTCCATAGCAGGCTGAAGAGTGGGTGGTCACATGGTGGCATATTTCTAAGTCTATTGGCACAACTCATACATTCATTCTGAAGCCTAAGGAACTTGGGAAACCAACAGAAGCTGTGGGCATCAGCTCCGTGGTGAACAGCAAACAGTGCAGGTCAAGGTGTGTCCTTTTTTTTTTTCTTTCTCTCTTTTCCTCTTTTTGAGACAGGGTCTCCCTGTAGCCCAAGCTGGCCTGGAACTCACTATGTAGATCAGGCTGGCCTTGAACTCACAGAGATCCACCTACCTCTGCCTCCTTTGTGCTGGAATCAAAGGTATGCGCCACCACGTCCAACCTAAGGCTTGCCCTTTGTTAGCCTTCCACTGACTGCAAGAGAATTTGAGCATATCAAAGCCACAGAGGGAATACTCCACTGGCACTTAGCTGGAAAGAATGTCTGGCGACAGACACTGGCTAGGCTGCTGCTGTACACACACCTACTGATGGGCGTGAAGTGCAGCCCCAGCCCCCAGTTCACTTCACACACTCTTCCCTTAGCAACAGTGTTTTAACTGGCACTTTGCCAACAATATGAGAGGCTTAGTGTTAACTTGAAAAATTAGTTTATTCTTCTCTGAGAAAATGTAAAAGGAAACACTTGTTTAACACAAGTAGCCTTCTGCAGTCAAAAGTATAAGAAAATGCCTTCAGGCAGAAGGGCTCCCCCTCCTATGAGGAAAGAGCATCAGCGAGTCAACGTGCAAGGGACTGGGGATGAAGGGCAGTGGTGGAGCTCCTGTCTGGACCATGTGCAGGCCCTGAGTGCTAGCCTGAGCCCTGCAAAATAAATCCCAATACTACTTGATAGTATTGGGATTCCTTAGTCAGTCTAGGATTCTTTTTAATTTCTTAAATTTAATTTTATGTGTGCAAGTGTTTTGCCTACTTATATGTATGTGTATTATGTACACACCTGGCACCCAAAGAGACCAGAAAAAGGTGTTGGATACCGTGGAACTGGGGTTACAGTGGAGCCAGACTGTGAGTGCTGGGAACCAAACCTGGTGTCTTCTGCAAAAGCAGCAAGTGCTCTTAACCGCTGAGTCATCTCTCCAGCTGAGGATTCTTTTCCAGTGTTAAACTACAGCCAGGTATGGTGGCACACATCTGTAATCCTAGAACTTGGGGAGGCTGAGGCAGGAGAACTGCTGTGAGTTTGAGGCCAGCTTGGGCTACAGAGCAAGACCCTGTCAGAGGGAGAGGGAGAAAGAGAGGAGAAGAGAGGAGGCTAGAAGATGAAGATTCAAATCTCGCCTCAGCCAAATGAAACCCTGGCACAAACCACAGAAAACTTTGGCATTCTTCCTGCCAGCACTGAGAGGGTCTCCTTTTTTTTTTTTTTTTTGGTCTTTTTGAGACATATGTAGACCAGGCTGGCCTTGAACTCACAAAGATCCACCTGCCTCTGCCTCCCTAGAGTGGGGATTAAAGGCATGTGCCACCAGGCTCGGGCCTGAGGGTCTCCCTCTTGAATACTGTCTGTATATTAGCCAGGCTTTCTAGAAAACACTTTGGGTAGGTGTCTATTCTCACCATTAACCAGTCAGTGTTCACTGAATGCCAGACTGTGCTAGACTCTAGGGATACATGAGCGTTTCTGCCTCATGGAGCATCCAGTACAGCTGGGGGATGGGAGTGATGTGGATAGATATGAGACAAGCACTTTTTTTTTGGTCTTTTTGAGACAGGGTCTCCCTGTAGCCCCTGGAACCACCCTCGGCATGAGACAAGCATTTATAAAACAGGTTGATGAATGCTCTCACAGGAACACAGGATGGTATCAGCATAGGAGGGGGTAGGAGCAAGATTTGGGGAGAGGGGTTAGGAAAGCTAAGATGTCAAGGACAGAAAGAAGTGAGGAAGATCAAGAGATGGTGAGAGGTGTCCCTAGCCTGTGAAAAGCCAAGGTAAAGAGACCTGAAGGCACCTGTGCTGCTGGGGTCTGGCAACCCTTCCCCACAGAGGTTCCACTTGAAGCATGCCCCGATGTTCACAGGCACCTACTGGGGGAACTGAGGAAACTGTTGTTCAAAGTTATTTCTCACAGGGCCGGAGCTTGTTGGTGAACTCAGCAGAGAGGCTGGTGTCAAGTGTGCTGTGAAAACACGTGGTAGGGACAGGTGAGGGTACATGCTTTACACAGGAGCATATAGGGCCCTGAAGCCACATACATCTTGGTTTGCCATAAAGTACTGCAGGATTACTTCATTCATTCAG